CTCCACCCACTAAGGGGAGGAGACCGCTAAAAGATTTTAAAGTACAATTTCCATGGTAAAGCAATGTCCGATTTAAAAATGGTTTTCACAGGATGAATTTGAGGTTTTAAGCTTTCAAATGATATACAATTTATTGATGATTACTAAAATATGTGATAGAGAAAAAAGACAACAAATAAAAGAGCACCATTGGGCCCACCTGTGGGCCGGTGGCACTTAATGGGTTAAAAGCCAAATATGAATGATTAAATATGACATTCTGACCAACAGGTGGCGCTGTCACCAAACTCCTCTGGTCATGGGAAACATGCAGCACTTGCGTTCACATCTATGCAATCTAACCAAAACAACTTGCATTGTGCTCAAGGTACGCATTTGTATTTTCATCAGTTCTTGCACTCCCTGGGAACCGAAGCCATAATCTACAGATCGAGCTACAGGAAAGATACAGGCTCGAGAGTCTTTTTGGTGTCTGATGCACTAAACAAGATAATCCAAAAAGCTTTTGAGAGCTTTCGGCCATCAAATATTTCACGATGTACAGGACAATGTAATGGCAGGCATGCAATATGGAAAGATGGAAATAGTGCAAGATATCCTGGTGGATCGACAGCATATCTGATAGACTAAAGAAGACCATTAAAAAAGCACTGGTGAATCAAACCTTGTCAGAAAGAAACATGCATCCCAGACGAGTCTGTCAATGTGGTTATCATATTCAGTGACTATATTCAGTGTGAGATTATTCCAAACAATGCAGCGTAAGGCATTTGTTTGTGTCGTACCCCTTTGTAGATGTCGACCTCCAGTGTTTCGTTGTTGGCAGGGAAAAGCTTACTGTGAGGACTTCCTGTTTCATTACACTTCTGACCCTGAAGAGAAAAGATAACCCGCAGTTATATATTCATACTGGGGCGGGCGATATGACCAAAAACATATTTCACGGTATGAGAAATTTAATTTCACGATAACGATATATACAGGGGTTAAAGCTAAACAAATCCTGAGCCTGAACTTTTTTCCGGGGGCGGGGCGGGGGGGCAGCACATGCAAAGCATGCAATGACGGTGGCAACATCTGAAAGGATAGTATGGCAGAGTTATCGCTTTCTTTATTCAAACTGATTTATTTTGTTCATGAATACATGGTTGACCTGAAGAATGAAAGCTGTATCATAC